GAATATTAATACCAGCTCGTTTAATTAATAATTATGGTTGAATTACAGCAGATAACTTACAAAATACAATATATGTTGAAAAGTAAAGATGAATGATTTTTCATTTTGAGGTGATTGAAGGGGATAAGACATGAAGGAAACTCATCATTTCGTGGGAATTTTAAATGATAAGCTTTATTAATGCGTTGTCCGTCTTCGACCGTCAAGTTTGACAAATTTGCTTCATTTCTTTCTTCTACGTATCTTGACTATAAGGAGTTATCCGCTCCAATCTATGAATTTGATCTATTTGTAGGTCTTGCAATCGAACGTGCAACTGCAGCAGCTAAAGTTTGAGTGAAATTAGGATCCTTGGTTAACGAAGCAACGTAATCCTCAACTCTTCCGGGGCTAACCATGCTTTGAGGGCTTCCCAATCCTCCATTTTCTTGATTACTGGATCCCGAGAGACTAAGATCGAGCGTTACAGGCTCCGGCAGAGAGGGACTTATATTAATCACGTCATTATTAGTTCCGATACCACTTGAAGGAAAATTAACGGGCATAATTATGTTCTTATGTGAACATGAAAATTGTCCAAATGGTACAGAATCATTGATGGCGTCATGGTTGTGCTCTCCTTCGTATGTCGCCACGAGGATGGAATCATCCTCTATGCACCTCTGTACCTAAATTTCAGGCAGCGGAAAACACAGGATAAATAAGTTTAGCTAAAAGAAAAAAATATTAGTGAATTCATTTGCAAATTAATTAAAAAAAAAAACTTCATTTCTTGGGCAAATGGTTCATTTATACGTACCTTCTTTTTGACAGGGCATCGAGGAGCGAAGGAACACCTGAAATAAGCTCGAGGGGATGAAGGGTTGTCTTTGGTGACCTTCTGTCCATATTTCCTCCATTGATATCCATCTTTCACAATCTAATTAATTTCGTTCAATTAAATTCACAATTAATATTAATAAATAAACCTAATGCTTTTAGGTTTATATCTAATTAGTCTAATTTTCTACATTATAAGGGAGGACTTGACTTACAAGGCTGTTGTCTTTAGAATCGGTTTTCACGAGGAACTGTGATGTCTTATTGTGGGATGCCTGAAACTGATCGGGATGCTCATCAGTTCTCTGTCTCTTGCTCGTAATCGCGCTGTTGATATTCGTGGTCATGATATGTCGATGATCACACGGTTGTTGTTGGATATGCATTTGGCGCAGCTGCTGCTGCTCAAGTGTTGAGCGCTTGGTGGTCAAGTGTTGAAGCAGGAATCTTAGGATTTCATTCTCTTTCCTCAAACGTTGCAAGTCTTCTTGAACACTGTCTACAACCTGATCACGATCATCAGCCATAATACAAAAGCAAAATCATCAAACGATCTCACAAATTATTCAACCCTAGGTCACGAAGAGTCCGTGGGGGTTAACTCAAGCGATGATGGTGCATGCAGAAATGGGATAGGACCAAGGAAAGTGGTGAGAGTGCGTGTAGAAATGCGTAAAGATTATGCTAAGTTCAGAGTTTAATTCCCTCCGTTAAACTCATAAATCATAACCGCGTTTATATAGATCAAATTCAGTACCTTTTGCTTGTTAAGGGTATGAGCATCCATGTTTATAGATTCAGATAAGTTGATGTAAAGATTCAAGAACCTGCAGATTGCTAAAATAAGTATATTGTTAACAAGCTAGGGAGAAGAACAATATATAATCCGATGAAGTAGCAATACACACACACACACACACATATAGCTACAGGTTTAGGGTATTTGTTGGGGGTCTTGAATCTTGCTGTCAAGTTCAAGGAAATTTCACAATTGATTCAACGAATGTTTAGTGCCTTCGATTCCTGGCATGTCTGAGAATTTGTGTTGAAATATTGAGTAATATAATGAGCGTGTTGGAAAAATATATGATATGACCACTAGTGACGCTATGATTACACGAAACATGCAACGACGTCACCACATGCTCGTCATCATGGGAAACGACGTAAGTTTAGTATTAGTCCGACATGTTTGTTCGGGGAGCCTTTTGAATCTTGACGCTTGCTTATGTTATGGTCTTCGACGGATCACTTTATTTCACCTTTTGCCTTTTAATTTCCAAGATTGTATAAAAACAAAGAAAACGAAACGTGGCTTGTTGGGATTTGCTTTTAGGGTGTATTTGCAACGTTATTGTTGTTGTAAGTACTTAATTATTACATAAAAAAACTTAATTAGAATAATAGTTTCGTAGTGATAAGGTAGTTAGAAGATTGTTCTTGTGGTAAAAAAATTGGATTTAAATTCCTATACTGAAATCTATTAAAATTTGGACCCAAAATTAAAGGTTTTGTCAACTCTTCGTTAATCGTGAGCACGTGGGATTCACATGCTAACAATTAATGCAAAATTCCGTTTTAATCGCATATGTGTGGCTCACATGCTAGCAATTAATGGAGAGTTGACGAAATTTATAATTTTAGAACTAAATCCTGATAGACTTCACCACATAGATTTAAAACCTAATTTTTTTTTACACACAACATCTTTCTTTCGACTTTTCTATCACTACGGGGACTAATAATCGAATTGGACAAAAAAAAAAAAAATTCCATTACTTAAGTGTCCATTCTGTATATATATTCATCACCTAACAACTTTTTTTTGAAGACTTTCAAAATGCATTATTTTTAATAATAGGATTGAAGATTCAAACAATGACTCTTTGTGACCATTAGAAAGAAAGAGACAACCAAACTAAAAGCTAGCTGGCAATGACGAAACCAAGAACTTGGAGAAGAAGGGCCGAACACGAACCCTATAGGAGAAGGTTACAAATCAAAATTTTTTTTTGGTGAATGTTATATTTATAATTTTCTTTCCTTAGGAGTAGTGGTTGTATTTAAATCAATTTAAAAAGAGAAAAAAAATATTTAAATATGTAGGCATGAAGTTTTCTTCCTCGCCATAGGCTATAAGCAATCGGCTATGGCTTCACTTTTCGACGTTAGAGGCTGAAGGCAAGAGCTTTTCCATCTCAGGGAGATCTCATATGGTGTAGATTGTAAGGGCCATGTCAAGCCCCTCTGGTGCTCTGTCCCTTCCAGTTGGTACATAAAACGTCTTTGACTATGTATACTTCAACTTAACACTACATAAAACGTATTGGAAAATAGTTTTCACAATGTTAACAACTTATAATTATAGACGAGTCTTCTCTCTAATTAAGCCCCTAATCATTTACCCTGAGTAATTAAACCTTACTTCCATATGGCTAGCTACTCGTTGTGGTAATCAAAGATGGAATTGAAGAAGATAGCGATTTGCTGCAGTGATGGAAAACAATAATGTCTATGCACTTTGGTGTGTGTTCCATTCTCATAACATTTAATAATTTAACGCACTAACGCCTATGAAAAAAAAGGATGAACTGCCAATTTTAGTCTCCGAATTATTACCTAAGTGAAAATTAGGTCTCTAAACTACTTTTTTTTCCAGAAAAATTAGTCATTGAATTATAAAAATCTACCTATTACATCCCTAATATTAGATTCGAAGCTACTATATTCAATTTTTCATCAATTTAAGTCACGTTACTTGCATGTGATACACATTAGAGGATAGATTGGTAATTTTCCATAAACAAATAGTGTATGAAGTTAACTTTGGAAGGTAAATTAGACGTTAGATTCGTAACCTAGCTATATGAAATGTTAAGGGCTTATAGGCGAGAAAATGATGGTAATACACTCTACAGTGTGTCAAGTGACTTAAGTTGACAAAAAGTTGGATAAAATAGTTTTGAATATATAGCAAAATGAAATTAGGGACTTATTTTACAAAAAAAATTATTTAGGGACCTAATTTTAACTAAGGTGTTAATTCAAGGACTAAATCGACACTTCACAAAAAAAAAAAAAAAGAAAGAAAAAAAAGAAAGAAATTGAAGAAGAGTAATATTTGCTAAGTGGCAATGACCAATGGGAACATAATACCATCCCACAAAATAAGAGAGATTTTTCAGTAAACTCGAAATACAAAGCGAAACACAACATGTTATTATATAATTAGAAAAAAGTTTTCATTTTGAGTGTCTCTCTATGATACATGGTGCTCCATATTTCTGGGCACAATCATTTCTCCGTGAAATAGTAAACAAATAAAGAATGTAAGCGTACGGCAAAGGCACCTCAAGGAACCAAAAAGTCTTTGTATTTTTTTCATATTCAGAGGTCGTCGTTAATTGAAGTCAATTATGAAAGGGCTAAATTTCCACAGACAAAGTACCAATTGACTAACCAACAAGGAGAAGCCGATCAGTGGACCATGCACGAAACCTCCCCACCAGTGCCCACTTCATCACATGACTCGCTTCACTCTTCCTTCGTAATATATGATGAGAGATTATTTTAAGTATCATGTATTCAAGGAGTATTTCACATATTATAATATAAGTAACGGACATAATTTAAGTATCATGTATTCAAGGAAAATTTCATACGAACAAAGACAATCGAATGGGATGCAGAAAAACTACTATTTGTTCTCCCTCCCAAGGGCTCTTGGTATAGAGGAAAGGACAAAGACCGGAACTATGCTTTTTTGGTAGGTTTTGGTCTTTGTCTTGAAGCTCTAGTCAATTGTGCTTAGAGAAGTGTTATTGGTACTTCAAAAATCTCATTCTACACTCCTCATAAGTGTATTTTTCTTTCTAAATATAAAAAGTTTGGAATGTTGGATGAAAATTTTGGAGTGCCAATAACAATTCCCTTGTGCTTATTGTCTACAACTTTGGGTTGGTATTATTATTCAACTAAATGGATAATGTGCGACATGGTGAAAATGGCTAATCATGTGATATAATCAAATCCCTAGTCCAATTTTCCATGATGTATAGCACCAACCACTCTCATGTCACTCTGGGCACACGTGTTCAAGTTTGAGACTCTCGGGGAAGTGCGAAATTGAAGACATGACCTCGGGTGAATGAATAAATACTCAACCACTTAAATTGCAAGCCTTTCAATATTAATACTGCTCGTTTAATTAATAATTATGGTTGAATTGCAGCAGATAACTTACAAAATACAATGTATGTTGAAAAGTAAAGATGAATGATTTTTCATTTTGAGGTGATCGAAAGGGATAAGACACGAAGGAAACTCATCATTTCGTGGGAATTTTAAATGATAAGCTTTATTAATGCGTTGTCCGTCTTCGACCGTCAAGTTTGACAAATTTGCTTCATTTCTTTCTTCTACGTATCTTGACTATAAGGAGTTATCCGCTCCAATCTATGAATTTGGTCTATTTGCAGGTCTTGCAATCGAACGTGCAACTGCAGCAACTAAAGTTTGTGTGAAATTAGGATCCTTGGTTAAAGAAGCAACGTGATCCTCAACTCTTCCGGGGCTAACCATGCTTTGAGGGCTTCCCAAACCTCCATTTTCTTGATTACTGGATCCCGAGAGACTAAGATCCAGCGTTACAGGCTCCGGCGGAGAGGGACTTATATTAATCACGTCATTATTAGTTCTGATACCACTTGAAGGAAAATTAACGGGCACAATTATGTTCTTATGTGAACATGAAAATTGTCCAAATGGTACAGAATCATTGATGGCTTCGTGGTTGTGCTCTCCTTCGTATGTTGCCACGAGGAAGGAATCATCCTCTATGCACCTCTGTACCTAAATTTCAGGCAGCGGAAAACACAGGATAAACAAGTTTAGCTAAAAGAAAAAAAATACTAGTGAATTCATTTGCAAATTAATAAAAAAAAAAAAAAAAACTTAATTTCTTTGGGCAAATGGTTCATTTATACGTACCTTCTTTTTGACAGGGCATCGAGGAGCGAAGGAACTCCTGAAATAAGCTCGAGGGGATGAAGGGTTGTCTTTGGTGACCTTTTGTCCATATTTCCTCCATTGATATCCATCCTTCACAATCTAATTAATTTCGTTCAATTAAATTCACAATTAATATTAATAAATAAACCTAATGCTTTTAGGTTTATATCTAATTAGTCTAATTTTCTACATTATAAGGGAGGACTTGACTTACAAGGCTGTTGTCTTTAGAATCGGATTTCACTAGGAACTGTGATGTCTTATTGTGGTATGCCGGAAACTGATCGGGATGCTCATCAGTTCTCTGTCTCTTGCTCGTAATCGCGCTGTTGATATTCGTGGTCATGATATATCGATGATCACACGGTTGTTGTTGGATATGCATTTGGCGCAGCTGCTGCTGCTCAAGTGTTGAGCGCTTGGTGGTCAAGTGTTGAAGCAGGACTCTTAGGGTTTCATTCTCTTTCCTCAAACGTTGCAAGTCTTCTTGAACACTGTCTACAACCTGGTCACGATCATCAGCCATAATACAAAAGCAAAATCATCAAACGATCTCATAAATTATTCAACCCTAGGTCACGAAGAGTCCGTGGGGGTTAACTCAAGCGGTGATGGTGCATGCAGAAACGGGATAGGATTATGCTACGTCCAAGGAAAGTGGTGAGAGTGCGTGTAGAAATGCGTAAGGATTATGCTAAGTTCAGAGTTTATTTTCCTCCGTTATAACCCATAAATCAAAACCGCGTATATAGATCAAATTCAGTACCTTTCGCTTGTTAGGGGTACAAGCATCCATGTTTATAGATTCAGATAAGTTGATGTAAAGATTCAAGAACCTGCAGGTTGCTGATATAACTATACTGTTAACATGCTAGGGAGAAGAACAATATATAATCCGATGAAGTAGCAATACACACACACACACACACACATATAGCTATAGGTTTAGGGTATTTGCACTACTAAAAATTTGGCTATAAGCCACCCTTTTCATTCGGTGGCTATTGTCAAGTGTTGCCACTCATATTGGTGGTAAACCTCTATGGCCACCAAGCACCCACTAAACTAGAGAATGTGGCCTATGTAGAGGACTCTATTGTTACAATGGCTACCAATATTACATTGGTGGGTATGTGAATAGTACAACATTTTTATATTTTATAATTATTTCTAAATTTCAAAGCATGTCATTGTCTCTTATTGGTGACTAGGTTTGAAACTAACATTGGTGGCTTTTATACTCATACACCCACTAATCCTATGTGTCTTTATTAGGATCAGTGGCTTTTAAAGTATAGGCACCAACAATGGTGTGAATCTATAGCATTCCAAATGTCCAGTAGGTTGGAATTGTATTACATGCATTTTAGTAATAGCTATGTACTCTATTAAAACTCAGCTTCTTAATATAGAATTGGCAAGAAATTTAAATTTGCAAAAGGATTCACATTGACAACCAACCACACTTTATATCCCATACATTTATCAATAACAAGGTTTGTCTCTATTAAAGACACCATATTACATTCAAGTCCGTTGTCCAACACATCCAAGTATCCAAGGGTGATGACGTTACATTTTATAACACCTATGTACCTATGCACATCCACCAACAGTAAACTGAACAAACAACTCCACCCAATTGGATCTATGCCTTCCCTATGGCATTTGTATATGTACATGAAGCAAAAATCACAAAAAAGTATCATAGTTAGCTTATCACTTACTGAAGCCAGTGACATTCACCATGCATGGACGATACCCAATCTCATCATCTGTGCCATTATTCTATAGCACAACAATACCCTCATCTTCAACTTCTCCACTTGCTTGGATCTCCATACCATTCCCTTGTTCAATTCTATTGACACAAACTTGAGGCACATCAATGCGATTTGGTTCCACCATGCCTCTATCAGCAGCCCTCTTCAACTCAGACAGTAATTTCAGCCCTCATTTCACGCTTCATATTCTCCACTTCCAATTCCACCTGTCTATTGTGTGCCACCATTGACTTGGCATACTCTTTCCTCAATTGTGCAAACACATTTGCTGCCTCAATCCTTTGCCTTTCTTCTCTCTCACTTGCCTCCATCTTAAGTTTCTCAATTTCAAAGTTAGCAGCTTTTCTTTGCTCCTCATACGATGCTTTAATTGCTTCAACCTCTCTACAAATTCCCCTTTTCTCAGTTATAATACTTGGCACATCAAACCACACAACCCATGTCCCAAACCCTCTTACACGGTTGTCTCTCTCAGGCCCCAATACATTAGCGTACACAATATGCCGAACCTCATCAGTTATGATCTCATTCCTATCCTCGTACAACTTTAGGTTTGTATTGAATTCATCCTGCAAGTTGTTTCCAAAATTAATTACCAATGTATTTGCACTCTATATACATTTGAAAGCCTTTTAAATCAAAGATATTCCAACCATGTTTCTCAAAAATACTAGTACTATTAGTTATTGTTCTGTTCACAGTGCCTACCAATAAACTCATATGCATCAGAATCTTTCATTACTTCACTGTATTCACTAATGCAAGCTGCTGTTGCCTTATGCTCTTTGTTTCATTGACATTAAATAACACATAATCTAATACACCTGATTGTTCACAATCCACAAACCTTTTATATATCTCACCTATAGATAAATTGTAGCAGCCGGTAATTGATGGCGTACTTACAATTATTGCAGCTGATCGAGCATCCACTGGTTCCCCATTCTTCCGAGTACGTGTTAGCGTAAAGAATGTAATGCGGTCTGGTTTGCTTCCATTCGCTTGTTCCTGTTAAGATAAATTGTCAAACAACTAATTGACGAGTAATTTCATAACATTGTTTTCAACTGGCACCTTCATTCCATGTGCACTAACATGTAGTTAAGTTACCATAACACATAACTCATGGCAGAGCCTTACATGTTCGTGTCTGATTTGCGCAAAAGACTTGGTTCCAGTCGTGTGATTTATTTGTAGCGCTTTCCTGTTCTTTCTACATGATGTAGCACGCTTCTACAGATGCCAAGTTTAGCATGCATTATTAGGGCTATGTGAAAGGAAATTCATCCTAATTTCCAATACATACAATCCATACATTTATCATCCACATTATGTCATAACTAAATCAAGCATATATGGTGCATAAAAAAGGAAGAACTTTGATCATTGTGTGTGCTACCTGAGCATCTACGGTGTCCCATAGTTGTACTAACAATTTCCATTGGCCTTGGTTGACACGGCCATCATGACAATGGAACCTTTCCGCTAATGGTGAGTGCAGGCATGGAGTATAGTATACCTTCTTCAGGTTTGCCTTGTAATCCTTCCATCTATCATTCAACTTCTTCTCACAAACCCGCCGAATTTTGGGCTCCAATTCGAGTGTTATTGCATCTGTCCAATCAAGAGTCCCTTGCCCATGTAGATATACATGATGTTGTTAATTATGCACCATCATTTAATATATGAAATATGAATTTGTATAGTGAACCCGTAATACCCATCCAGTAGGTTTCAAATATTTGTCTAATCGTACAAATTAAATTTACAGCAGACAAAGTTAAAAGAAGCCTCATTGCACATCACCAATCTGCATAGATGCTGCCTTTTAGTGGTGTATAATGTGCTATGGACCGTATTGTAATTGTCTATGGAGCCTCTTACGACATAATTGGTGCATCTCATTTCAAATATATCACAGTGAACCCCAATTTATTCTAGTGCTACTTTCTAAGTCACCAACTGCAAAATAATTGACATGGCCAATGAAAAGTTAAACTTGTGTATGGATAACAGCAGTTAAGGTCAAAGTAGGTTTGGAATGAATTAATCATAATTAAAAACTTAAGGCTTCAACCCTGCTTGTTAAGTAAGTCAATAATAGGCCATGTGATGGCATTATGTGGTTTTTTTCATTCCAGGGTTAAAACTAAAAGGCAATGAAATAATTAGCTATATATATAGGAAAACCAACCAACCATTAATGCCTTTACTATTGATTTACCTTAATCCTCTGCCAAGCACGATCTATGTTTGAAGCCCTGTAGAAATGCCTCCAATCAACTACATTAATTGGAAAATATGATGCTTCTTGAGCTAGCATTCCTAAGAACCTAGAAAATCTAGCAACGGTATGAGGAGGCTCTACCGGCTGCCCTTTCTCATTAAATTTCATCAGCTCCTTTGTACCATTTGGTGCCCATTGTGGCCTATTTATTCCCATACGAGCCTGCGCTGAATGGGTTATACGTTGACGTTCATCCACGACGCCTTCGACATTATTTGGAACTGTGAATTGCTGTATGTGGTCATGTTCCATCAGGTTGAATGCTAGTGGTTGAGTTTCGATGCCTTTGTTAATCGACATTGATGCAACTGAGTTATTGTTGCTGACCCACAGCACCTTCGTAATTACTTTTCATGTAAACACAACACAAGAGTGTTTAATTAACATTTGTAAACAAAAAAATTTCAATTTAACACCTCAATTAATTTCCTAGTAAGAAGAAATGAGTGGTAGATACTTCCTGCAATGGCTTTAATGTAACCTCTCTGCCTGAAGATAATTTCTTTTTTGAGTTGATAGCTTGATGCATCTAAACAGCTAAAGTGAAAAAAGTTAATTAAATGAATCCACACACGTTTCCTATCTGAGAGCAGCAAATTGAAAATTTGGCAGATACTTAAGTTCAGCGGGAAATCCTCCCGCCTAGTAATCCCTAGGAAAACAATTATTTAATTCATACACACTTATGGAGGTTAGCAGGTAGCCACACAAAATGGCCAGGTGTTGCTATTACCAAATAAAATAATTGGCAACCCATTAAATAATTGATCAGTCTGTGAGGTGGCAGATGGTTGATGAGATTGGCATATGCATTGTGTGGTCAAATTTCAGTGCTTTTGTAAGAAGAATCCCGGAACTATTAATTGTTCACACCTTAATTAAATGTTAATCCACTAAGTGGGTGTGAACTTACAATTAAGTGCCCTGCCCTCCATTCTAATCTCAATTATAAATATCAACCTTGAAGAGGATTTTGGACTTACAGCAGTTTCAACTTCGTCTGAAATTTACACCTAATCACCAATGGCACCTTTATTCCCAAATGCTCGCAGACAGTTATTTTGTAACACAAGTGAACACCCTTTTCCTACAGTGGATCATGAAGTGCTTGGTCCCATGATGCGTGCCCCAACCAATAACACTGCAACCCCAGTTCCCACCCAAGAAAACCTTGTCCCTGTGCTCACTGCAATCATGAAGATCTTGATTTTTGGCGTTACCTACAAGCTAACTTTCACATTGAATTCGAGTACGAGCAAAACCCCACACTAGAGTCAGGTGCCAACCAGCAGTTCGAATCCCCTGCAAAGACAACTACTGCTTGGGGTGAATGGAATGACTTTTCGCATGGCTCTAACATGCTTGTTTACCCTCCTCAATCACCCAATCCCTTGATCAATATTTATTGTCCTCGTTATGATGAGGCAGCGAAAAATGTGATCTTGAAAGATGAGCACTTTCCATCTGATCTTCCAGGTTTCGGTGTGAACGTGATTCCTCCCTGGTCCAACGAAATCGGCTACATGAAGCATGGTAGCAGTGGAAAACATCCTTGCATCAATGGTGATACTGACAAATTAATGACTAGTGGAAAGCAACCTTCCATCAGTGGTGACACAGTGAAAATAATATCATCTTTTTTCTCGGGTGATTCATACCGCTTTGATCCTATTGAGATTTGCAATGCTGTACACTTCGATTCTGATTCTGATTGTACCAGTACTGCAAGGACTCGTCATCCTCAAATAAGGTACAAGGCAGTTAAGGAGTGTGCTGCGTGCGAATATGTGGGTGGTCAAGAACATTGTGATTGGATGAATCGTGCTACAGGTCAAACAAAACAGGAAGCCATCCCCAAAGATATGCAGAATGCAAAATCACCATTCGATGATGCTTATGGTAAGAAGAGTTGAACCTATTTGGGAATGAATGTTATATTATGGTATTAGTATTCACGTATGTCCAGTGCAATGCAAGATATCAACCTTTACAAAACAAATCTCTAGTCTTTTGCTCTATGTAAACATTCATACTCAGTTTGTACCACCGTA